TGTGTGTGTGTGTGTGTGTGTGTGTGTGTGTGTGTGTGTGTGTGTGTTTGAAGGGTCAAAGTCAGGCCATTTGGCTTTCAAAACAAGAGCTGTTACCTGCTGAGCCATCTTGCTGGCCCTGGGCAAAGTATGATAGTGGTAAGGGCCAGCAGGAAAGAATCACAACATATAGGATTATTCAGGGTAGTATTAATTATCTGGATGCCACCCTACAACTGGCCTTTGCCCATTATCATCTTACAACATATAGTTTTTAAAAAATGAGATATAGAGAAGATGGCTTGCAGGCATCCTAAAAGGCAGCATGTATTCCCCAAGGGTCCATTTTGAACAACTACAGTTCCCATTTCTACTAGCGCTTGCCATTTCTTGATGTTGTAAATCATATTCTTATAATCAGAAGCTACTTGGCTAAGTCCAATCTTATTAGCACACAGGGGCTCCTCCCTTTTGTCCTTTGCTTCTTATTGCCTTGGCAGTTATGTTATAGGGTAACATTGTGGCAGAGTAGCTCTGCTACTTCCTGCTATACCAGTCTGCTGTGGCCCACAGTAACGAAGCTTTTGACATCTATCTTATTTTATGTTTGGCTTTTAGCAGGTGCTGATTTTATACATTAAGAGCAACTCACCAGTTACTTAGTATTCAGGTTCTCTCACCTATCTTTATATTAAAAGAATCACAGGGAGATGTCACTGTATATGGCTCTCATAATTCTAGTCAAGCTTCCACTTGGGGTACTGTAATTATCATCATCCATGTCTCTCATTGTGGTGGTTTGAATGATTGGCCCATGGGGAGTGGCACTCTATTAGGTGTGGCCTTATTGGAGGAAGGGTGTGACTATGGGAGTGGGCTTTGAGGGCTGCTAGTGCCAAGCTCTGCCCAGTGTGGAATCAGTCTCCTAGTTGCCTGCAAAAGATAGTCTTCTCTTGGTTGCCTTCAGATCAAGATGTAGAACTCTCAGCTCCTTCTCCAGCACCACGTCTGCCTGCACACTGCCATGATGATAATGGACTAAACCTCTGAAAGTGTAAGCCAGTCTCTAATTAAATGTTTTCCTTTATAAGAGTTTCCTTGGTTATGGTATCTGTTCACAGCAACAGAAACCCTAACTAAGACAGGTCCCAGGGACTGGGGTATTGCTGTGATAGGCCTGACCATGCTTTTGCTTGGAGGAATGTACATTTTGGGACTTTGGATTTGGAAAGCAATGGAATGCTTTAAGTGGGACTTAATGGAACATCCTAGTAGGAGTATGGAAGACACTGGTGCTGAGGGTGATTTGAACTGTTAGGACATGGCTCAAGAGGTTTCAGAAGAGAAGAATGTTAGTATGTGGCCTAGAGACTGTTCTATGCTATTTTGGTAAAGAGTATGGCTGCTTTTTTGCCCTTGTCTGAAGAATCTGCCTGAGGCTAAAGTGAAGAGATTTAGATTAATTACATTAGCAAAGGAAATCTCAAAACAGACTGTTTTGATGAAAAAGAGCAAACTGAGAAAGAAAAAGTACAAAATGTATGGTTTAAAGCATTAAAGGGACACCAGGAAGTGGAATGGAGTTGAATCCTGTGTTCAAGGAGATAATCAGATTTAAGGGAGTGGTGATCTCAGGGCAAGATCCCTTTATTGTTTATATGTTTGCAGTCAAACAAGGGATAGTTATTTCTAGGCATTATTATACCTGGTTCTTGTTTTCATTTAGACACATATGTGTCAAACTGACAAGGGGTGGATTGTGATGGCAGTCAACAAAGGTAAAAGAAGTTGGACATCAGACATGGAGATACAGAGTTTGGAGTTTGCCCAAGTTGGTGTTGGTCTTGCTTTGGTCCTCATAGTATTTCCTCACTATATGATCTGCTTTTTGGTATTGATCTTATAGGGGGTTACAGTTAAGATACTGCATGAATCTCAGAAGAGACTCTGAACTTTGAACTTTTAAACATTGTTGAGAGTGTGATAGACTGTGGGGATTTTTGTGTTCTTCATTATGCTACGGCTAGGTATGCCCTCATAGATTTATGTGTTTGAACAAACCTATGGGGGCCAGAGAGTGGAATGTGGTAGTTTGAATATACTTGGCCGATAGAAGTGGTACTATTAGAGGGTGTGACCCTGTTGGAATAGATGTGTCACTGTAAAGGTAGGTGTTGAGGTCTCTACGCTACTGTTATGAATCCTAATGTAAATATCTGTGTCTTCTGATGGTCTTACGGAACCCCTGTGAAAAGGTTTATTTGACCTTACCCATAGGGTTGTGACCCACAAGTTGAGAACCCTAATAGCTTCTCAATAAAAGTGAAAAAATGAAAATATTATAAATATAGCACTTTTAACTTCTGGCTGAGGAATGTTTTAACAGATGACTTTTAAAAGTATCTGTTATGAGTAACCCTGGATTAAATGGCTTCTGGGCACTGGGATTTGGTGTTAGCGTCTTGATTTTAAGTGAATTTGATAATTACAAAATATTTCATGGCTGTAATTAATGGCATTAAATGTTTGTCTGGGATCTAGATTATCTGCCTCAAATTTACAACTCCTCTAATCTGTCCTAGAATTTCTTTTCCTTCCTTATTTTTTTTGAGGGGGGCATGTTTCTTCCCAGGAATTTCTTACCTTGTAAGTTGACAGTAAAATAGGCCACATTAGGATTATCAGGATTAGATAGAATTATCAGGATTAGATAGAAAGAAATAAAACAATTTTTAAATGATACAAGAAATATGATACTAAATTTTAAAAGTAGGATATAATCAGATTCTCTATATTTTCTCAGACAACTTTAAGAAACAGTTTACCTTCTGTAATTTCTTCATTGATAAGCTGGACTTGCAAACTGAAGATCTGTTCCTGCACTTTGGTGTGTGATAGTTTCAGCTTCTCTCGTCTGCTTATCATGTAGCACAGATTTCGGACCTGCAAGAAAATCCCCAGCAAATAAAGATGTTTGTCATATTAAGTAAATTTACAGTTGAAATTGTTCAGGCACATTGAATTCTGGTGCCTAGGGAGTGAGGAGTGAAGACAAGACCCAAGTGCCACAAACCATGACCAAACCTCTGAAACCTATTCACTAGTCTACACTGTAGTAGGATCAATATTAATATACACAATCTAGATGAGATGATAATGGTATCATACTTTAGCCTTCTATCCCTGAGTATGAATGATACCACTTGGCATCTATGCTATCAGGCCTGGCTCAATTCTCTAATTAGACAATTACAAAATTCCCTAGGGCAAACAGTACCAACCTTTTCTTTGAATTCTTGGAGCACTTAATTTACCTGATGAGTTTATCATGTAATTTATCACGAGTTAAATTACCTGGTGAAATGGCTATCAATCAGAGATGGTTTTAACCCCTAGGAGAAATCTAGTAAACTTGGAAAACAATTCTGGTTGTAAGAACCAAGTGTGTAAGGGATGATACTGACATCCAGTGGGTAGAGATCAATGATGCTGCTAAATATCCTATTCTGCCACTTACAATAAAGGGCAGCACTGCACAATAAATAACCATGCAGCTCAAGATGTCAATATAGTGCTGAGTTTGAGAAAACCCTGAGACAGTACTTTTCTGGACAAGGTTCATTCTTTTAGGCTTCAGTCTCAGGAATATGTTAGTAAAATATAGCTGAGGCATTTTAGACTGAAGGTGAATTAAAAAGTTAATCACAGCACGAATGTGTCAAAATTTAAACAGAACTCAACATATGGAGCCACAGTGAACTCAGACAATAAGGAGGGACACAGAAGCTCACACTATAAATGGGTAGTCATTTTATAACTGGAAGTGATATCTCCTAGCTCTATGCACACATTAGTCAGAACTGGTCACCTTACCCTCTCTAGGTCCTGCCGCAGATGCATAAACATTCTCATCCGAGTGTGAATGCTTTCTTCTTTTGGCTGAACCAAGCCATTTCCTTCATCCTCTTTTGGGGGGATTAATGGCTTATTGAAGTTGCTTTTGCGCTTTAGTTTCCAGTAGTTATAGATAAAGTCGACAGTGAATGCAGACAGCCCCATCTCTTTGGCAACATCTTCTACCTGGACTAAGGTATAGAATTCTTCTTCTAGTTCACGAAGCTTCTGTGCCCGTAGGCTGGTTTTCTCGCTTTTAGCCTGGCTCTGCTCGGCAACTCTGTGGTGGTGGTACTCGGCATCCCCGAGTTTTGGCTTGTTTTGGCTATGCTTGAGGCAAAATGACTTGAACTTCACTTCATCCCCATCATCTAGGATGGTCTTCATTTCCAGGCCGTGCTCAAAGGCACAGGTGACATGAAAGGCAGTGATACAGCTTTTCACAGAGCACTGAAGGAGAAAAAAGTGTGTCAGTGCAGCAGACGGGAAGAAGATAGAAAGATCTATATCCCTAGGTCCCTAATGTGAGCTTATAGAAAGGAAAGACAAAAGGGCAGCTTGACCATGAAAACTATTTTCCAAATAAAGAAAAAAGATGAAACAAAAAGAAAAGGAGAAAAATATTTTACAAGTAAGGAAACTTTTATAAGTTACCCAAGAAACTTGCTCTTGCTCATAGAGAAAACAGCAAAACAGAAGCAAAAATATGAAATTCCCATTTTAAGGTTTCAATTCAAGCAGAAAGCATTCAGTTGCCTTTTTTTTTTGGAGAAGTCTTTGATTTATGTAAAGTTTATCATTTCTTCTCTGTGTCCTCCATAACACCAATATATGCTTTTATTGTAGTACTTTTCACATACTACCTACTAATAACTGAAAAATCCCTGGCCATACAGTTTAAGACAGAAGCTATGTCAATTACCTATGTACCAGTATGTTATCAATTCAGGCAATACCATTCAAAAAGCAGTTGCTTAGAACAAATGAAAGAAAAGGCACAGTTTATATTTTTGCCAGGATATCCATGATTCTAAAAGGTGACAGGAACTCTAATACCTAAACAACATAACTTCCTGAAATTGTTCTTATACACTGAGCCATTCATCAGATTAGACAACTAGCCATGAAAGCCTATTTAAATTTATTTCAATGTAGCCAAAATGTTGTTTCTCATTAGAACAACATTTGTGTTGTATGTGTGAGGCTCTGGGTTTCATTCCCTAAACTGCAAAAAAAAAAAAAGTTAATTAAACTTAACATATAATGAGGACAGCACATAAGTGGGCCCGTTGTCAAAACTAATGACAAATTTAATCACAGGACCCACATGGTGGGAGAGAGCTGACAAGGTGCCCCCTAATCTCCATACATGTGCTCCCCTCAATAAATATGTTATTTTAAAAAGTGACATACATTGAAAAATTTAACTCCTCAGTCATATTAACTACATTTAAGCCAAACTGGACAACACACATACACACATAAAACATTTCCATCACTGTAGTCAGTTTTACTGGAGAATATGGTTTGTACTATTCTGCCTTCCACTGATAGATCTAACAACATTTATTAAGCATTACTATGGATCACACACTGATTATCATAGAGAAACAAAGTAGGATGAATTTGATAAATGACACAGATGCATTCTTGTGCTTAAGCTAAATTACCATTTGGTATGGTTAAAATGTTACAGCTCTTCTTTTTAAAAACACAGGAGTACACATACATGTTAACACAAGAGATTTTATTTCTAAGAAACTAGAATGAGATCATATATACTGTAAAAACTTCTAGATTTAGTGAAATGTCTTTAATTGCCTGAATTAAAAATTAAGAGTAAATATTTTTTAAAAGTGAAAAGGAAAATGGTGGGATTTTTCATCATTAAAGCAAGTGCTAGTTCTTTTGGAAGCCTGCCATTTGGAGATCACTGTGCTTAGTATACACATGTTGGAGTCTTGATAATTGAACAGAGAATAAACTTGGAAATGAATAAAGACAGAAAGAACACAATGTATGACAGGTCTTAGAAATCCAAGATACTCAACAGAAATGAAAACAAAACTTTTGTATGAGTTTTCATATCAGCATTATTTTGTATGGTTGGTTTTTCTTCTTACCACCAAAATGTATAAACCTCCAATTATAATACCACCTGACTCTAAAAATATTTTATGTGAATGTGTATGCACGTTTGCTATGTGTATGCATTATTCATGGAAGTCAAAAGAAGTGACAGATCACCTAGAGTTGGAGTTATAGAATTGTGAGCAACCCTATGTGGGTGCTTAGGAACTGAATCTGGGGCTTCTTCAAGAAACACAAATGCTTTTAACAGCTGAGCCATTTCTCTAGCTCCTAGAATGATCTTTTCTAAAACTAGATGGTTTTATGGCAGTTTGCTAAGAGACATTACTAATCATCATCTATGCATTGTTTTTTATTTTGTGTAGTTTATATTTCTATACTCTGTAAGTTTTATCTTAGAGATAATCTGTTTTCAACACCCTATCGAGTGCTGCTGAAGAATGTCTTTTATAATCTGTTGTATAATTATTTCATTTCTCTAGAATGTTTAATTCTCTTCTCCTAAGACAATACTATCAACCTGATTTAGACACACCCCACTTCCAATGAATCCAATGAACTGGTAATCTAGCCACATATCAGATAAAAGCTCACAATCTCACAAAACAAAACCAGACCTCTTTAGCTTTGGGTAGTTCTTTTGGAAATGTTGATTATATTACATGGAAATATGTATCCTTAAAATTTCCATGTATTTGACAAACATTATGAAAATGAGGATGATGTTAAGCTCAGAATGCATTTCTGAGTATTTTTAATATCATTTGGCTAAAAATTAGACATACTTAAAAACCAAATAGTAAAAGGTATTTTTAGCAACCACCAATAAAATGTCAAAAACAGATGTCTCTCAGGATAAAAGTTATAGAATATTGAGAAATAAATTACCCCCACAGACAAATATATGGATGGTAATTAGGAATGTCTCTTAGCAAACTCTGCCATAAAACCATCTAAATTTTAGAAAAGGTTATTCTGTGGTATTTATAATTAGAGATCTGTACAGTTTGGGGCTAAAAGTGGAATGGCTATCCAGGTTTTGGAGTCAATCATTTATTTATTGCTATTATAAAATAAAGCGGCTATGAAAATTCATGTAGAAGTTTTTCTTTAGATTTATGTTTTCATTTCTTTTGAGTACTGTGTAACAAAGGATTAACCTGGTCCAAAGAAATGTTTGGTCCTTTGTCTGTAGTACCTGAGAAATTACAAGTAAGCCTTTAGACTGTTGTGCCTGATAAAAGTTGGTTTTGTTTACTTAGAATCAGGTAGCTATGTGACTTTGGGTTACATGATATCAACTGATTTCCAGAGGGACCCAAGAATAAGGTCAGGCAAATGGATAGTTAGCCATTTCTATGTGGTGAATCCCCAACATTACTTATTGCCTCCAAGGCTCTGGTGAGTAGAGAAATAAACACTAAATGCATAGCTCTTGGGGTGGGGTGGTGAGGAGCTTAAGCTGTATATTTCCTTGGATAAGTTGTAGTGTTTAGGCAGGGAGTGACCTTGTCCACTGTTGTAATTAGACACAACCCCAGTATTCTGGAGATTACTGTAGAGACTGAGAACAGAGTCAATAGCCAGGGGAGTGCTTGTCCTTTGGGGATGATACTTTTGTGACTGGTATTTGGTCGTTATGTAGGCCCAATCTAGGGGTACCAACTTAGTTCTCCTTTGAGGTTATTATTAACTCCTAGGTGGAGGTCTGTCAGACAAAATGATGGGTTTCCTTAAATTCTTTCTGTCAAGAGCATAACTTGGTGCTTTGTTTGCCCCCCATTCTTTGGTGCATTCTCAGACCATCCTTAGTTGCTCACTACAGCCACTAGCAGCTAAAGAAGGGAAGCTTTTAGAGCAAATGCGTTCCTGATGTGGACAACATATCCTGGATAGGTCCAGCCTTACAGAGTACCAACTTGTACTGTGAAAAAAAGAGAGGGATTAGGATGGACCCAATTTCCAGAGCAGGTGCATTCTAATATTAAGACTGGGAAAGGAAGCTGCATCAATTATATATGTGTGTTTTAAAAACAACTTATTTGTCTTTTTAGTACAGTTTTCAGCTCTTCACAATATTTTTATTTTTTATTCATATTCTCACCTTTATCTGATTTTATTTATATATTTTATACCTGTATTTTAAAACTGCTTGCTCTTTTCTTTTTCCTAGTTTTGTTTTTTTAATTTATTTAACCTTGTAGTTTCCTTTTTGCCTTTTCCCTGTCCCTCCTTTATTTCATTTATTACTTTTATTCATTTTTTAGTTTAGGTTGACCTTGAACTTCCAATTCTCCTGCCTCCCCCTCCCATGTGCTAGATTACAGGTGTATACTACTTTTATTAATTTTTCTTTTGAGACATGGTCTCACTATGCAAAAACTGGCTGGTCTAGAACTTACTAGAACAGATTGGCCTGGAACGCATAGAGATACGCCTCTAATTTTTAACACCATAGTTTATTCCATATTTTGGCACTTTCTTTTCTTTATAAAGATTACATAGCCGGGCGGTGGTGGCGCACGCCTTTAATCCCAGCACTCGGGAGGCAGAGGCAGGCGGATTTCTGAGTTCGAGGCCAGCCTGGTCTACAGAGTGAGTTCCAGGACAGCCCGGGCTATACAGAGAAACCCTGTCTCGAAAAACCAAAAAAAAAAAAAAAAATTACATTTTAATTTTTAAAAAAAGATTTATTTTATATATGCGGGTATACTGTAGCTGTCTTCAGACACACCAGAACAGGGCATCAGATTCCATTACAGATGGTTGCGAGCCACCATGTGGTTGGTGGAAATCGAACTCAGGACCTCTGGAAGAACAGCCAGTGCTCTTAACCACTGAGACATCTTTCCAGCCCCCTACATTTTAATTTTTAATTTTGTATATATGCATGTCTATATGAGGCTATATACATAAGAGTACAGTGTCTGTGGAGATCAGAAGGTAGCTCTGGATCTCCTGGAATTGCAGCTGTGAGCAAACCAACATTCATACAGGGAACCTTGAGTCTTCTGGAAGAACATTATATACTATTAACTACTGATCCATCTCTTTAGGCCTACCATTTTCTTTTCTACAGCTACTGGTAGAATAGTTTGATTTTTATTGTATGTTTATATTTACTTTGTTTTGGTGTTGTGATGATTAATCATCAATGTCACCTGATAGGATTTAGAATCACTGTGAAAACATTTCTGTGCTGTCTATGAGACTATTTCTAGGAAGATCTTTAAAAATCTTTATTTATATGTATACATATTATCTGTCTTCACACACATCCAAAAGAGGAAATCAGATCCCATTATAGATGACTGTAAGTCTCCATGTGGTTGCTGGGAATTGAACAGTAGCCAGTGCTC